CTTCGTATACATTTCCTAAGTATATTATACTAACGGACGATTTTGTTGTTTTTATTTTACAGTATTTCTTTCTTCCATTCGCGAATGTTATAAGGTTCTAGGACTTGTGAAAAGATATAGGACATTTATAAATAAGAATAGTATTTATGTAGGAGAATTCAAGTAGTAATATTTTTAAATGCCACTGGCCTTAAATACAAATGTCTGTAAAAATAGGCATTCCTGCAGAACAGCTGATGAGCACCTACAAATTTTTATATTCACTGGAGAAGATTTAATATCGAAAGTATATGCCATGCAGAACACTCACTGTTAACAGCACTTGTTCTTGAAAATTGAAACTATCAGAGACACCTACCATTGAAAATCCATAATATGAAAAATATTTACTATTGAAACATTTATAATTAAAGAATTCTTTTTGAAACTATTAAAAAGAAGGTATACTAAAAATTCTGTGGTTATAAAATATGTGTTAACCTTAATAAATTTTCCCATGACACCAAAATTAAGCTATGGAATTATTCTTACTAAATTATTGTTCTGCATCTCTCTGTTCTGGGCCATCAACTACTCCAATGAGGTAACATAGAATTCGAGTTTAGACGTATGTGAAATTATTTTCATAATATTATTTCCCATTTAAAGAATAAGATATTAGTAATACGTAGAAATACCTATATAATACAATCTTCAATGTTGACAATATTATTCCCCCCCTCTTCTTTTGCAAAACAACTGTGGACAATCCTTCAAGAAGAAAAAGACACACAATGTTTTAAACGTAAGGACTAGTCGATTATTGAGAGGATACGAAGAAACTCACAGAAATAACGGATATGAGAATTTAAAAGAAAAGTTGATGGGGTTCGTGGATGAAGATGATGCAAAATTTACAAGCCGCCTAAAGTCTTCTATGAAAGATCATAAATTTAAAGAACAATTCAATTTATTAATGAATTATGATGATGACGATGATATTACCTCAAAATATAAAGCAATAGTCGGTGATCGATGTCATAAAAACTCACATCCCAATTTAGGGTATACTTTCAAATTTACCAAGGGCAAACGTAAAAATTCTTCTCGTAATAAATATCACTCACAATATCTTACCTATCACTATGATTCTAAAAATGCAGAAGAATATGGACATCTCAACCAAAATTTACGTAAACAAAAAATCGCTTATAAAAAGGGAAGTGGCTATAAGAATCATTACGATGATGATGATTCTCATGAGGACTATGACAAAGACTATGACAGATACTGTAGGAAAGACTCTCAAAAAGACTATGTTGATGACGATCATGATGACGATCATGATAACTATGATGATGACCATGATGATGACCATGATGATGACCATGATGATGACTATGATGATGACCATGATGATGACCATGTTGATGACCATGATGATCACTATGATGTTGCCCATGATGATGACCATGATGATGACCATGATGATGACTATGATGATGACCATGATGATGACCATGATGATGACTATGATGATGACCATGATGATGACCATGATGATAACTATGATGATGAATATGATAATGAACACGGAAGTACATATGGAAATAAATATGAAAATCAATTTGGAAACTGACTCAGAAATCAAGCTGGAATTAAACCTGCATTTCAACCTGGATTCCGGCATGCAAATCAATATGGAAGTGACGGTAAAAAAGCAGATACTGACAGGATCCAACATACTAAACGGAGTAATAAGAAATTATTAAAAATACCTGTTATTTCTGGGATAATTAAATGTATGGAAAAAGCTGATGTCAAGTATCAAGCACGCTTAATAGAGATTGTGAAAGAAGAAAAGGAAAAGAATGCTACATTTAATGAAAAGTCACCAAGATTCAGTATTAAAAATGCGTTAAAATTCCTTTCTCCCATTTTCGAAACATTTCTGCTTTCTCTTGTCATCGTCATCACCTTCTCACATAGCGTAATATACCCATTCCTCATAGGAGTAGTATTAATATGTGCATCAACACTATACGTTGCATGTAGATACGAGAAAACGATTATTCTTTTGAATGCTATAAGAGAAGGCGAGGCAGAGCAGCAGCGAATAATGAAGTTCAACTGATGCCGAAAAATGCAGTTAAGGTCATGCTTGAAAAGGATGATAAAAGGGCACCTACATGGGAACAGATAAGCTCATCAAAGAGGGAGGGGGAAATATCACTTAGATCGTAAGAGAAGGTGGAATCTAGAGGGGAAAATAGAATGTCACGAAGAAGGGAAAAGAACTTCCATCGAATGGAACAGAATTATTATCATAAGAGAAGATAATTCTTGGTAATCTTTAAATAAAAATCGTTAACTTGCATCTAATTTAAGATTATTTCTGTTATACAATACATATACATATTTGAACTTCGAATGATGTATATTGTATGTGTTATGTTCCTTTTCTTTGAACAGTCTAGGAAAAAACATATTTAATATACTTTTTCCCCCCTCCTTCCCCTTAATTTACTTTTTCGATTGACAAATTTGAGCATTATTTACGTAAACATATTTTTCTCCTTCCTTTCTTATAAGACGTTACGAATGTGTTTCTTTTAACTATTCTCTTGATTTTGCTTAGCCATTTTTTTAATTTGTTAAAGGCAATTTTTTTTTTTCTCTTTTTTCGTTCGCATGGAAATTCTATTTATTGTGTTTTTTACACACCACATTTGATTATTATACCTTTCCATGTAATGATAATTCGTTTGAATATTATTTGGACAAATAAAAGTTCAACACGATCTATATGTGCACTATACAGGTGTATATATAACGGGTATATATGCATATGCGCAGCATATTAAATATATCTCTGTGGTTCCAGAGAATAGGAACAATGAGAAAAATACGCTTCAATCAAGAATAACAAAAAATACAGTACCTAACCTAACATGTTTTAGATGGCAACTATGTATCATCTGCCCACCGTGTGCACCTATTATTACATGGTTTGTTACCACATGGTATCCAGGAGAGGAGTAGATAATTAATGCTTCCTCCACTTTGGGCAACAGCATTGCTTCATATTGGCTTATTGGACGTAGACATCTGAAAGAGGCTTTTCTTTTCTACCTTCAAAGTTACACCATGTCGCATATAAAAATTGGGGTTGTTCCCTTTGATAAATAGGGATGCTTCGCCATTTCTTTGTGAAAGATGCGCTTCATAATGTTTACGCAACAGAAGGCTCATTGGTCATAACATAATCGATCTTTACACGGAATTTTTTTCAGATCATTCGTAATCTGCCCATATATTAAGAACATATCTACATGTGTTCATTATGCAGAAAAGTATTTATTAATGATTTCTTTCTAATAAGACTGGAACGTGTTCACTAGCAGTTTCGTGATAGATAACATGGGATTGTTGCTTCCCTTAACATAAGGATAAAATGCGTGTCACTATCACCAACATCAATATATTTCTTAACAAGATCGTATACATTTGTTTAAATATTTTTACGCTTTAAGGAGATCAGCAATTGATGCCTAATTGTCTCATAAACAAACAACGAAAAAAGGATAGCATCCGCTTCTTCAAGTTATATAGCCTAACTTGCCTTTGCGATTATCCAATTTTATGGGAATATTTCTTGAAATTTTTCGAATTAGCTGTTATTTAGCAATTCTATGCTATCATTTCTTAGACATGTACAATCAAATTAGTGAGCTACACCATTCAGGATAAATGATATCGCTGGGGTACCATAATTATGCTGCTTCCCCCTGCAATGTTCTCTAGTCTTTAATGATTCTATGAAGGTGCTGTCCTATTACGCATCCGGAGACACTCAACAAATTTATTCAGTTTATCCTTACTGTGTAATTATTAGCACGAAAATGAAATTCTCACTTTTATGTAAATATTAGTAATCCACTTATCTGAATATTCATGTATTTTTAATTTATCACATACTCCTTCTCTGAGCTTCCTAAACTAACAGAAACAGTCAGTGCTTATTTAGCAGCACCTACTGGTAATGTCTCCTCCTCCCATTCCTCCCTTGCTTCTGCATTACTGCGAAATACCCAATCCTCAGATAGAAAACAATATATATCTCTCTAACACCAGGATATAATACAATGGATCAATCTCTTATAACACACTTCATATGACGCAGATGTATGTTTTACAGCAGAATGCGCAAAAAGAGAACGCTACAGCTTCTAGAGAATCGGTATATACGTAAGAGCTCCAACATCTTTGCGGTACGAATGTAGATGTCACGAGATGAAAACTTGTCCTTTTTACAAATTTAAATGTTTTATATAAAATTTTGACTATAATAGAATGCTAAAAATGGGGGGGAAATGGTTCCCTAGAGTATATGGAACTTCCTAACACTTTTCCTTCTTCAGAAAAGTATGTCAGACAAAGTATACACTGCAACTCAAAGTATGCATTAGAAAAATATGAAATTGCAACAATTTTTTAAAAGTTACGATGGCGCTACATTATAATATAAGGGGGGCGTTATAAATATAAGAGACATATTGCAAATCAGCGTAGTTATTGCTTTATTGCTAGACACTAATCAGATTATAGATAAGCATTCTACCGCCAATTAAAATATTTATCTACTCTTCAAATATTATTTCATATAGTAACACAATTCATAAATATAGGAAATCCTACGAAAGAAGGAAATTAACAGATTATGTACTCTTTAGACAGGTACTTATGGAATCCTCTAGGTGCAGAAATCTAGCACGGTGCTTTTATCCGCAAGATCTTCAAATTCAGATGGAAACATTTTTTATGTCCTTTTCTGTTTTATTTCCTTCTTGCTGTAAGGAACTCGATTGAAAAGGGAATGTACAGTTCTATCACTATGTATAAGTACACACATAACGGTTATGTAAGTGTCCTGACTTTTATAGAAGACCTTCACAATGCCCCACAATAATGGTTACACATATATTTCCTTCTTTCGCCATGCCTCCATTGATATTTGTACAAGTACTATGTACAGAAATATCGAAGACATAAAAACACTTTGTAGCAAATAATAATTGAGGCGCCTGTTTGTAACCACTAAATTTGATTTTATTTAAGAAATCACGTTCGACATTTTCGAAGCTACACGACATTTGCAATTTCAGCTTCTAATGCCCATGCTTCCTATCGCATTACGCCACAATTGATTTTAGAAACAAGGTAAAAAAAAATATTGCACTATCTTCCACATTCTGTTATCATGGTTCTATATCCTACTAAAATGTGGGTGTCTCTATATATGCACATGCCTCGTCCTTCTCATCTTGGTTGCTGCTCTAACGCGCGAATTGTAAGGGTGGATACTTAATTACCATTTCCACATCCGTTTCGCACAGATGAAGTCATAAAAAAAATATAACACTTCCGCTGTTTCGAAAAATACGAAAACATTGATAATACAGAAACAAGCAACTATTCATCATGTGCATATTTCATTCTTTTCTAAGATTGCAGTGCAATAAAATAACAAAAAAAATGTAAGGCACACAATACGTGTTAACACTTATGCAGTGCTCTTTTTTTAAGAAATCTTAAAAAAAAGGGAAAAAAAATGCCGTTTAACACCCTTCATATTAGCTTGAAAATAAATATAAGGAACAAATTACACAAAACCATTAACAGGACACTAACTTCTCATTAGGGCAGCGCCTGTACATAACGCACAAATGATATTTTTTTACTGAAAAAAACAAATGAGCAAATTAGTGTATATAAATTACACGAACGTATGCATAAATATACATGCATTTTACATACATATGTATTCAAATTTCTCCAACGACCCTTTTCATTGAAAAGGATGCAAATTAAAAAACATTTTCTTCCAACAAATTTATACACCCCTTTCTTCAAGATTCCATTTGCCTACCCCTTATTGCGTTTGGAAAATTGGTTAGCCAATTCAAGATCTTGTTTAAAATGTTTTCATTGCCAGGCTCGAGGCTCAACAGGTGTTCCATTTTTTCTAAAATGTGCAGCTGCTTATGATCGTTCTTCAGTCTGTTAAAAAATGATACAACTCCTCTATAGTAACATAAAGTATCATCCTT